ATCTCGCGTGTAAGTCGTGTGCGTCGAGTCAGGAAACAAGCCACGATTAAATTCGACCAATGATTTATTTACAAACTAATTTCCTATGTACAAACATCCTTAACTTCCTATCCACTTCATTATATATGGAGGAAGACACTTAATTAGTATGCGGGAAATCCAAATTAGTATGCGGGAAGGTAGTGAGCAGGCTTTTATGCCGTTCAAACAATAAAAAATACGGCAACCAACCAGATGCTTCGTCAAACGAGACAGCCAATGAGCGTCTTTCTAATTCCGGTCAACCAATCAAAACAACTATGACATCATAGTACCACGGAATACATATGACATCATCTTCCGAAAATAACTAAAACCTGACAAACCGGTCAAACCAGTATACTTAATTACATCCACCACATTTTATTCATGAGATCAATACAATAGCCTATGACGTCAGCGACGTTAATTTATTCCTCCCCACGTTAATGAGAATCCTCCCCAAAAAAGAGGAGTAACCGGTCCCTCCTATACTACTCACAGGAAATCTTGACAAAATTCAGGTTTGTAGAGGATTCAAACCTTTGACCTAGAGTCTGCATGATGAGGATTGTTTGATTTTCATTGAAATACAATCAATTAATGTAAACTTCTATGGTTCACTGAATAAGGCGCCGGCCAAAATAGGGATTTTAGTCATGACCTGCAAAGAATGTCGCATTTTAAGGCTAGATCAAAGTTCGAGGGCAAGAGATAATTCAGCCGAATGTGTGGATAGACAGCTAAACACGTAATTTTTTAAGTGCAGATTTTATGAAATACTGAAAATTTGGTCAACATAGCAACATAACAAGTGTATGTTTGCCACTGTCGAGAACGCAAGCTCATATAGGAATATTAACGTCAATTTATGACCAAAACACACGGAATAAAAACAGCGACAACTTTATTTACAAAACAGATGTTCAAATCTCAGGTTAAGGTAAAACGTTATTCACTTACTATAATATTTCTAACCACTAGTAAATCTATGGAAATTTCCAAAGACAGGTCTCTATAAAACTGTACTCGATTTGTTAGATTTGACCTTAACACTGGTAAATCTAACTTTACTGTATTTATTAAAATTGACCTTAACACTCTGGTAAATCTATGGAAATTTCCAAAGGCAGGTCTGGAAAAAAACTGTACAAGATTTATTACACTTGACCTTGATTATAACACTGGTAAATCTATAGAAGTTTCCAAAGACAGGTCTGGATAAAAGTGTACTCGATTTATTACATTTGACCTTAACACTGGCAAATTTATGGAAATTTCCAAAGACAGGTCTGGATAAAAGTGTACTTGATTTGTTAGATTTGACCTTAACACTGGTAAATCTATGGAAATTTCCAAAGACGGGTGGCTGGTTAAAACTTTAGTCTATTTATTAAAACTGAGCGTAACACTGGTTAATCTATGGAAATTTCCAAAGACGGGTCGCTGGTTAAAACTTTAGTCTATTTATTAAAACTGAGCGTAACACTGGTTAATCTATGGAAATATCCAAAGACAGATCTGGATAAAACTTTACTCGGATTTACTAAAATTCACCTAAGCACTGGTAAATCTATAGAAATTTCCAAAGACAGATCTGGATAAGACTTTACTCTGTTTATTAAAACTGAACTTCTAATACAGGTAAATCTATGAAAATTTTACAAAGACAGATCGCTGGATAAATACTTTACTCTGTTTATTTAAACACTGGTAATTCTATGGAAATTTCCAAACACAGGTCTGGGGAAAACTTTACTCTATTTATAAAAAAAAGGGACCTTAACAGTGGCAAATCTATGAAATGTCCAAGGACAGATCTGGATAAAACTTAAATCGATTTATTAAAATTGACCTGAACACTGGTAAATCTATGGAAATATCCAAAGACAGATCTGAATAAAACTCTACTCTATCAATTAAAATTGACCATTAACTGACTAAATCTATGGAAATTTCCCAGACAGGTCTGGATAAAACTCCACCTTACTCTTTGTATTGAAATTGACTTAACACTGGTAAATCTAAATAATAAGGTCTAAATATAACGTGAATGCATCTCTTAATTTTACCCAACAACCTGAATTTCCAAAAACGCAATCCTGATCTCATTTCTTTGATAACTCTTTTTACCTGCTTCTGAGATACTTTTAGTTTACCATCCTCATCCAACTTGAAACCAAAAAGGATGACACTTTCCTTAGGAATCTCTGTTCCGTAGATGACCAGCAACGCAAATCGGTTCCCATTTTGACTTATAGCCACCCTTTAGCCACACAGCACAGTTATAACGGGTGTCTGTGATTTTTTCTTCCATCCTTGTTACATTATCTGAGGCCGGGGGGTACTCCCATGCATTACCTATACGGGTATGTGCCGCTCAACGGGGTCGTGATTTTGAAGCTCTTGATTTAGAAAGGGGTATCCATTTCAGAGGCGTTTTCTAGAACGGGGTATAATTTTTCGAACGCACGAAAGCTCCAGTTTGGTAAACAGCCATTTGAAATTATTCAAAGACAGATTGCTTTTAAAAATACGGTTCAATGCGTTAACAAGCAAACTGTTGTACTCTTGTTGCACTCTAGAACGGAGTATAAAAAATTGGCCCATTTCTAGAACGGGGTATCAGTTTTAGCAAGAATTCTAGAACGGGGTATAAAAATTGGCCCCTTTCTAGAACGGGGTATCAATTTAAGGGGAAATTTCTTTTAGAACGGGGTGCCAATTTGGAGTCCCGGGCGGCACTTACCCCCCAAAAAATACCCAAGTTCCCCCCCCCCCCGGGATCTGAGGTTGGTCTTCTATCTCAGTGCTCCCTTTTACATGCAAGAGAACAAAATAATGTCTAATCTTTATAACGGTTATTTGATAATGATGAAGCAAAAATTGTCTCCGGTGAAATATGAAACAGCCTTTGTCCCCCCAAATTAAATTTATTTCCGACAAGAAAAAAAACAACAATCATCTTTTGAACACTCTATTACCTCTCGTATTGGGGTTACTTCGGACAATATCATAACCCCGAGTTTAAAGGAAATCGCTTAAATCGCAGTGGATCGGAAAATTAACCACACAGCAAACAAAAACAAGCAAAGTAAATACGGAAAGCTGTATTTTATTGAACATTGTAGCGATTATTTATCGATTTGAATCTTTTCACTGAATTCCCATACAAATCCTTTATATTCACGGCCATTTTAAATTAGTCAATATGAAACTACAGGTGTTAATGATTAAACTCACACACTGAGCTTGGGCCGCCTGTGGTAATGGCAGTAATGCTAAGTGACCTGACAAGATCTGTGAATGCGTTCTAAATTACAAAATGGAAACTAGAACTATCGAGTGTGTAGCCTTTTTCTACCACGAAGGTGCCAAACGAGATGACTTTGTTCAAAAAAATAAGTTTCGATGCTGTGTCGATTCCAGTCAGTGGGGAAGTGTGGTGAAGCTACGCGAGCACGTTCGGTAAGTTTTATATTCGGTTTATACATGAACTGATCTAAATTATGTTCTTCGAAGCTATTTCAGCTAGTTTGCTTATCTTGATCGTTAACGTAATAGACCTTTTTACGGTTTCTGTCGCCATCTTGGTTGAGGCAAACACGGCAAAACTCGCGTCTCGATATCGTGAAGTTTTCGGTGCAATAAGCAATAAACAATTAACATTAATTCTTCCTCCAGTCCGAATGGGCTCTGAGTCAATAGCCCATGAGTTCTCAGAGATCGCGAAAACCTAAACGTTACGGAGATGTTAAAAGCAGATACCCTAAGATAGCAGCAGCTATGGAAAGATTATTATATTTTTGAGTAGACAAATCTCATAAAGGGGCTACAAATTCAACAGGAATACGCGCGAACTGAACAAATTGTCTGTTGTACATTTTATTAAAAAGGTTGTGCTCAACTTACACAATTTTCCCTTGCTGAACATAAACTGTACCGAGCCGTATCTTGTTGCGCTATATAGAAGCTATATCATGGTTCAAATTTTAAACTGTAAGGTCCCTGAAAGAGTTCTGCTCAATATGAAAAAGGTTTTCAAGGGTTTCACGCCGGTGAAGATGTGCTGCCTGTCACCTCTTGCAAGTTTTTACTTTTAAATACTTATCGGTAAGCAAATTACCATGAAGTTGAGTTCTGCCTCTTCCGAATTTTGCGGCTCGACTAGAAGCACGTCCAAAGTGATGTCAGTAAGTAAATTTATTGAAAAATCTTTTACGCAATACCACATACTTTCATTTTGCAAGCTTGCAGACTATTTGATTAGTCAAATCTGTATTGTTGGAAGAAACATTATAAGCTCTGTCCCTAATGCTTAATACTGTATTTTGAAGCTGTAACGAAAACGTCTTAAACATGAAGTCCCGCATCTGTTGCGATTACTGAACAACTATGTTAAGTAATTCATTTTTTCATGTTACAACGCTACTTTCTACATACCACGAAAAATTTTAAAAGTAACACGGATTCGGATTTGAACAAAAATTAAGTCGGATCGACGGATCGGGCCTAAAAATACCACGGATCGGCGGATTTGCATACCCCTTTTCACCCCCCTCCTATGACATTATAGTTAGTGAATAACGTTTTACCTTGACCTGAGATCTGAACATCTGTTTTGTAAATAAAGTTGTCGCTGTTTTTATTCCGTGTGTTTTGGTCATAAGTTGACGTTAATATTCCTATATGAGCTTGTTAAAATAGTCTCTTAAACTTCAAATTCATTTGATGTGAGCAGTTTGCTTAAAATCTACCTTCAATCATGTGTATTTGTTCCCGTGTCAATCAGCACCAGCTATCACTAAACAGACAAAAAAAAGCCAACAAAGCCGCAGACTTACTCATTTCTCTGCTACATATTCAGGGTGAAACAACCTTTTTAGAAGAGAATCAACTCAAAGATGAGGCTTATCTTTGCGCTTCTGTTTGTTCTTCTTGCGGCCCTGGTGTCTGCTCGCCCTTTTGTGGAAGACAGTGGGATGAAAAAAGAGAATTTACACCCAAACTATAACGCTGAAACGCCGCAGAGGTTTTTCTCCAGAATGGGCAGGAATGACGACGACAACGACGACGATGATGATGATGATGATGATGATGATGATGATGATGATGATGATGATGATGACAAAGACGATGATGACGATGACGATGACGATGACGATGACGATGACGATGACGATGACGATGACGATGATGATGATGATGATGATGATGATCACAAGAGTTATCACAAGGCAGGAGCCCATCACCCGCGGCCGCGCAAGGTAGTTGCAATAACAACAACAATTTCAAGTAATGGAAGATTGGTTGGGCTGAATGACTCTGATTAATTAGTTTGTGTAAGACTCTGCATTAGAAAGTTTTTCGCTTAATTATCGCATTCATTGTCAGAATGTATATCTATTCTAGCCGTGGAGGTTTCACCACAGGATGGGCAGGTATAACGACGACGACGACGATGATGATGATGATGATGATGATGACAAGGATGATGACAAGGTAGGGGCAATAACTACAACAATTTCTTATAATGGAAGATTGGTTGGGCTGAATGACTCTTATTAATAGGACGATTGCACGATGACGATATCTGACTACAACTACCAGAATTCATTTCGGTTTTGCTTTGTTATTTAAATTTGTCAATGCCTCTGAGGATTAAATAACCTTAATTTGCACAAGAAAACAACAAACTCAAGGATTCTGGTAGTTGTAGTAAAATGACGTCATCGTGCAATTGTCCTATTAATTTGTTTAAGATTGCGCATTAGAAAGTCTTTCGCTTAAATATCGCATTCATTGTCAGAATGTATATCTTTCCTTGCCACAGAGGTTTTTCCCCAGCATGGGCAGGAATGACGACGACGACGACAAAGACGGCGATGATGATGATGATGATGACAAGGATGATGATAAGGTAGTGGTAATAATAGACTGCTTGCAGTCCGCCTTTTCTCTTAAAAACTGTCTAGTTCTTACCTCATCCAGCGCGATAGCAAACCGCGACGTTATTATTACAATGAGGGATTGAGACCAGGCGAGAAAAGACGGACTGCTGACTCTTTTGTAGTAAACAAACCCTCCGTCAGCCCAGAAACGGAGTAACCAATTGGTCAATTGCACAGCTGTTGACAGATAATTGACTAGTCTGTTGTGAGATTGCAAGCAATTAAAATAGTCACGCATCACAACGAACTGCAAACAATAGCGAACCAAACAGTAATCTCAGTAATAAAACTTTTAAGGAAAACTTACAGCGGGAAACTGCTGTGAATTTCTTAAAGGGAAACGAATTCGGGGCAATCTTGCCAGATTTAAAGAAAGTGTAATTTTTTTCAGTTGTTTATGTTTTATTTGTAAATCGTTTCAAGTTACTAGGGTTTAATTGTTTAATTAAATTACCTTGACAGTTTCGTTGTCCCCAGGCAAAACAAAAGAGTTAGCAGTCTCTTATTTTTTTCTTCTCGGGCTTACGCCCTCGTTTCTCACGACTCGCAGCTTTGCCGCTCGCGTTCTTAGGTTTCGCGTGCAGTAACTTTGCAAAGAAAAATAAGAGACTGCTCGCAGTCTATGGCAATAACTACAACACCCACAACAATTTCTAATAATGGAAGATTGGTTGGGCTGAATGACTCTTATTAATTAATTTGTTTAAGACTGCGCATTAGAAAGTCTTTCGCTTAAATATCGCATTCATTGTCAGAATGTATATCTTTCCTTGCCGCAGAGGTTTTTCCCCAGCATGAGCAGGAATGACGACGACGACGAGAAAGACGGCGATGATGATGATGATGATGATGACAAGGATGATGACAAGGTAGGGGCAATAACTACAACAATTTCTAGTAATGGAAGATTGGTTCGGCTGAATGACTCTTATTGATTAATTTGTTTAAGACTGCGCATTAGAAAGTCTTTCGCTTAAATATCGCATTCATTGTCAGAATGTATATCTTTCCTTGCCACAGAGGTCTTTCCCCAGCATGGGCAGGAATGATGACGACGACGACGATGATGATGATGATGATGATGATGACAAGGATGATGACAAGGTAGGGGCAATAACTACAACAATTTCTAATAATGGAAGATTGGTTCGACTGAATGTCTATTCGAGACTATTATTGATTAATTTGTTTAAGATTGCGCATTAGAAAGTCTTTCGATTAAATATCGCATTCATTGTCAGAATGTATATCTTTCCTTGCCACAGAGGTCTTTCCCCAGCATGAGCAGGAATGATGACGACGACGACAAAGACGGCGATGATGATGATGATGATGATGACAAGGATGATGACAAGGTAGGGGCAATAACTACAACAATTTCTAGTAATGGAAGATTGGTTGGGCTGAATGACTCTTATTAATTAATTTGTTTAAGCCTTCGCATTAGAAAGTCTTTCGCTTAAATATCGCATTCATTGTCAGAATGTATATCTTTCCTTGCCGCAGAGGTCTTTCCCCAGCATGAGCAGGAATGATGACGACGACGACAAAGACGGCGATGATGATGATGATGATGATGACAAGGATGATGACAAGGTAGGGGCAATAACTACAACAATTTCTAGTAATGGAAGATTGGTTGGGCTGAATGACTCTTATTAATTAATTTGTTTAAGACTCCACACTAGAAAGTCTTTCGCTTAAATATCGCATTCATTGTCAGAATGTATCTCTTTCCTTGCCGCAGAGGTTTTTCCCCAGCATGGGCAGGAATGATGACGACGACGACAAAGATGGCGATGATGATGATGATGATGATGACAAAGTAGTGGCAATAACTACAACAATTTCTAGTAATGGAAGATTGGTTGGGCTGAATGACTCTTATTAATTAATTTGTTTAAGACTCCACACTTAAATATCGCATTCATTGTCAGAATGTATATCTTTCCTTGCCGCAGAGGTTTTTCCCCAGCATGAGCAGGAATGACGACGACGACGACAAAGACGGCGATGATGATGATGATGATGATGACAAGGATGATGACAAGGTAGGGGCAATAACTACAACAATTTCTAGTAATGGAAGATTGGTTGGGCTGAATGACTCTTATTAATAGGACAATTGCACGATGACGATATTTGACTACAACTACCAGAATTCATTTCGGTTTTGCTTTGTTATTTAAATTTGTCAATGCCTCTGAGGATTAAATAACCTTAATTTGCACAAGAAAACAACAAACTCAAGGATTCTGGTAGTTGTAGTAAAATGACGTCATCGTGCAATTGTCCTATTAATTTGTTTAAGATTGCGCATTAGAAAGTCTTTCGCTTAAATATCGCATTCATTGTCAGAATGTATATCTTTCCTTGCCACAGAGGTTTTTCCCCAGCATGGGCAGGAATGACGACGACGACGACAAAGACGGCGATGATGATGATGATGATGACAAGGATGATGATAAGGTAGTGGTAATAATAGACTGCTTGCAGTCCGCCTTTTCTCTTAAAAACTGTCTAGTTCTTACCTCATCCAGCGCGATAGCAAACCGCGACGTTATTATTACAATGAGGGATTGAGACCAGGCGAGAAAAGACGGACTGCTGACTCTTTTGTAGTAAACAAACCCTCCGTCAGCCCAGAAACGGAGTAACCAATTGGTCAATTGCACAGCTGTTGACAGATAATTGACTAGTCTGTTGTGAGATTGCAAGCAATTAAAATAGTCACGCATCACAACGAACTGCAAACAATAGCGAACCAAACAGTAATCTCAGTAATAAAACTTTTAAGGAAAACTTACAGCGGGAAACTGCTGTGAATTTCTTAAAGGGAAACGAATTCGGGGCAATCTTGCCAGATTTAAAGAAAGTGTAATTTTTTCAGTTGTTTATGTTTTATTTGTAAATCGTTTCAAGTTACTAGGGTTTAATTGTTTAATTAAATTACCTTGACAGTTTCGTTGTCCCCAGGCAAAACAAAAGAGTTAGCAGTCTCTTATTTTTTCTTCTCGGGCTTACGCCCTCGTTTCTCACGACTCGCAGCTTTGCCGCTCGCGTTCTTAGGTTTCGCGTGCAGTAACTTTGCAAAGAAAAATAAGAGACTGCTCGCAGTCTATGGCAATAACTACAACACCCACAACAATTTCTAATAATGGAAGATTGGTTGGGCTGAATGACTCTTATTAATTAATTTGTTTAAGACTGCGCATTAGAAAGTCTTTCGCTTAAATATCGCATTCATTGTCAGAATGTATATCTTTCCTTGCCGCAGAGGTTTTTCCCCAGCATGAGCAGGAATGACGACGACGACGAGAAAGACGGCGATGATGATGATGATGATGATGACAAGGATGATGACAAGGTAGGGGCAATAACTACAACAATTTCTAGTAATGGAAGATTGGTTCGGCTGAATGACTCTTATTGATTAATTTGTTTAAGACTGCGCATTAGAAAGTCTTTCGCTTAAATATCGCATTCATTGTCAGAATGTATATCTTTCCTTGCCACAGAGGTCTTTCCCCAGCATGGGCAGGAATGATGACGACGACGACGATGATGATGATGATGATGATGATGACAAGGATGATGACAAGGTAGGGGCAATAACTACAACAATTTCTAATAATGGAAGATTGGTTCGACTGAATGTCTATTCGAGACTATTATTGATTAATTTGTTTAAGATTGCGCATTAGAAAGTCTTTCGATTAAATATCGCATTCATTGTCAGAATGTATATCTTTCCTTGCCACAGAGGTCTTTCCCCAGCATGAGCAGGAATGATGACGACGACGACAAAGACGGCGATGATGATGATGATGATGATGACAAGGATGATGACAAGGTAGGGGCAATAACTACAACAATTTCTAGTAATGGAAGATTGGTTGGGCTGAATGACTCTTATTAATTAATTTGTTTAAGCCTTCGCATTAGAAAGTCTTTCGCTTAAATATCGCATTCATTGTCAGAATGTATATCTTTCCTTGCCGCAGAGGTCTTTCCCCAGCATGAGCAGGAATGATGACGACGACGACAAAGACGGCGATGATGATGATGATGATGATGACAAGGATGATGACAAGGTAGGGGCAATAACTACAACAATTTCTAGTAATGGAAGATTGGTTGGGCTGAATGACTCTTATTAATTAATTTGTTTAAGACTCCACACTAGAAAGTCTTTCGCTTAAATATCGCATTCATTGTCAGAATGTATCTCTTTCCTTGCCGCAGAGGTTTTTCCCCAGCATGGGCAGGAATGATGACGACGACGACAAAGATGGCGATGATGATGATGATGATGATGACAAAGTAGTGGCAATAACTACAACAATTTCTAGTAATGGAAGATTGGTTGGGCTGAATGACTCTTATTAATTAATTTGTTTAAGACTCCACACTTAAATATCGCATTCATTGTCAGAATGTATATCTTTCCTTGCCGCAGAGGTTTTTCCCCAGCATGAGCAGGAATGACGACGACGACGACAAAGACGGCGATGATGATGATGATGATGATGACAAGGATGATGACAAGGTAGGGGCAATAACTACAACAATTTCTAGTAATGGAAGATTGGTTGGGCTGAATGACTCTTATTAATAGGACAATTGCACGATGACGATATTTGACTACAACTACCAGAATTCATTTCGCTTTTGCTTTGTTATTTAAATTTGTCAATGCGTCTGAGGATTAAAGAACAATAGCCTTAATTTGCACAAGAAAACAACAAACTCGAGGATTCTGGTAGTTGTAGTAAAATGACGTCACCGTGCAATTGTCCTATTAATTTGTTTAAGATTGCGCATTAGAAAGTCTTTCGATTAAATATCGCATTCATTGTCAGAATGTATATCTTTCCTTGCCACAGAGGTCTTTCCCCAGCATGGGCAGGAATGATGACGACGACGACAAAGACGGCGATGATGATGATGATGATGATGACAAGGATGATGACAAGGTAGGGGCAATAACTACAACAATTTCTAGTAATGGAAGATTGGTTGGGCTGAATGACTCTTATTAATTAATTTGTTTAAGACTCCACACTAGAAAGTCTTTCGCTTAAATATCGCATTCATTGTCAGAATGTATCTCTTTCCTTGCCGCAGAGGTTTTTCCCCAGCATGGGCAGGAATGATGACGACGACGACAAAGATGGCGATGATGATGATGATGATGATGACAAGGTAGTGGCAATAACTACAACAATTTCTAGTAATGGAAGATTGGTTGGGCTGAATGACTCTTATTAATTAATTTGTTTAAGACTCCACACTTAAATATCGCATTCATTGTCAGAATGTATATCTTTCCTTGCCGCAGAGGTTTTTCCCCAGCATGAGCAGGAATGACGACGACGACGACAAAGACGGCGATAATGATGATGATGATGATGACAAGGATGATGACAAGGTAGGGGCAATAACTACAACAATTTCTAGTAATGGAAGATTGGTTGGGCTGAATGACTCTTATTAATAGGACAATTGCACGATGACGATATTTGACTACAACTACCAGAATTCATTTCGCTTTTGCTTTGTTATTTAAATTTGTCAATGCGTCTGAGGATTAAAGAACAATAGCCTTAATTTGCACAAGAAAACAACAAACTCGAGGATTCTGGTAGTTGTAGTAAAATGACGTCACCGTGCAATTGTCCTATTAATTTGTTTAAGATTGCGCATTAGAAAGTCTTTCGATTAAATATCGCATTCATTGTCAGAATGTATATCTTTCCTTGCCACAGAGGTCTTTCCCCAGCATGGGCAGGAATGATGACGACGACGACAAAGACGGCGATGATGATGATGATGATGATGACAAGGATGATGACAAGGTAGGGGCAATAACTACAACAATTTCTAGTAATGGAAGATTGGTTGGGATGAATGACTCTTATTAATTAATTTGTTTAAGACTGCGCATTAGAAAGTCTTTCGCTTAAATATCGCATTCATTGTCAGAATGTATATCTTTCCTTGTCACAGAGGTTTTTCCCCAGCATGGGCAGGAATGACGACGACGACGACAAAGACGGCGATGATGATGATGATGATGATGACAAGGATGATGACAAGGTAGGGGCAATAACTACAACAATTTCTTATAATGGAAGATTGGTTGGGCTGAATGACTCTTATTAATAGGACAACTGCACGATGACGATATTTGACTACAACTACCAGAATTCATTTCGGTTTTGCTTTGTTATTTAAATTTGTCAATGCCTCTGAGGATTAAATAACCTTAATTTGCACTAGAAAACAACAAACTCAAGGATTCTGGTAGTTGTAGTAAAATGACGTCACCGTGCAATTGTCCTATTAATTTGTTTAAGATTGCGCATTAGAAAGTCTTTCGATTAAATATCGCATTCATTGTCAGAATGTATATCTTTCCTTGCCGCAGAGGTTTTTCCCCAGCATGAGCAGGAATGATGACGACGACGACAAAGACGGCGATGATGATGATGATGATGATGATGATGATGATGACAAGGTAGGGGCAATAACTACAACAATTTCTAGTAATGGAAGATTGGCTGGGCTGAATGACTCTTATTAATTAATTTGTTTAAGACTCCACACTAGAAAGTCTTTCGCTTAAATATCGCATTCATTGTCAGAATGTATATCTTTCCTTGCCGCAGAGGTTTTTCCCCAGCATGGGCAGGAATGACGACGACGACGACAAAGACGGCGATGATGATGATGATGATGATGATGACAAGGTAGGGGCAAAAACTACAACAATTTCTAGTAATGGAAGATTGGTTGGGCTGAATGACTATTATTAATTAATTTGTTTAAGACTCCACACTAGAAAGTCTTTCGCTTAAATATCGCATTCATTGTCAGAATGTATATCTTTCCTTGCCGCAGAGGTTTTTCCCCAGCATGAGCAGGAATGATGACGACGACGACAAAGACGGCGATGATGATGATGATGATGACAAGGATGATGACAAGGTAGTGGCAATAAGTACAACAACTTCTCGTAATGGAAGATTGGTTGGGCTGAATGACTATTATTGATTAATTTGTTTAAGACTGCGCATTAGAAAGTCTTTCGATTAAATATCGCATTCATTGTCAGAATGTATATCTTTCCTTGCCGCAGAGGTTTTTCCCCAGCATGAGCAGGAATGATGACGACGACGACAAAGACGGCGATGATGATGATGATGATGATGATGATGATGATGACAAGGTAGGGGCAATAACTACAACAATTTCTAGTAATGGAAGATTGGCTGGGCTGAATGACTCTTATTAATTAATTTGTTTAAGACTCCACACTAGAAAGTCTTTCGCTTAAATATCGCATTCATTGTCAGAATGTATATCTTTCCTTGCCGCAGAGGTTTTTCCCCAGCATGGGCAGGAATGACGACGACGACGACAAAGACGGCGATGATGATGATGATGATGATGATGACAAGGTAGGGGCAAAAACTACAACAATTTCTAGTAATGGAAGATTGGTTGGGCTGAATGACTATTATTAATTAATTTGTTTAAGACTCCACACTAGAAAGTCTTTCGCTTAAATATCGCATTCATTGTCAGAATGTATATCTTTCCTTGCCGCAGAGGTTTTTCCCCAGCATGAGCAGGAATGATGACGACGACGACAAAGACGGCGATGATGATGATGATGATGACAAGGATGATGACAAGGTAGGGGCAATAACTACAACAATTTCTAGTAATGGAAGATTGGTTGGGCTGAATGACTCTTATTAATAGGACAACTGCACGATGACGATATTTGACTACAACTACCAGAATTCATTTCGGTTTTGCTTTGTTATTTAAATTTGTCAATGCCTCTGAGGATTAAATAACCTTAATTTGCACTAGAAAACAACAAACTCAAGGATTCTGGTAGTTGTAGTAAAATGACGTCACCGTGCAATTGTCCTATTAATTTGTTTAAGATTGCGCATTAGAAAGTCTTTCGATTAAATATCGCATTCATTGTCAGAATGTATATCTTTCCTTGCCGCAGAGGTTTTTCCCCAGGATGAGCAGGAATGACGACGACGACGACGACAAAGACGGCGATGATGATGATGATGATGATGATGACAAGGATGATGACAAGGTAGGGGCAATAACTACAACAATTTCTAGTAATGGAAGATTGGTTGGACTGAATGACTCTTATTAATTAATTTGTTTAAGACTCCGCATTAGAAAGTCTTTTGCTTAAATATCGCATTCATTGTCAGAATGTATATTTTTCCTTGCCGCAGAGGTTTTTCCCCAGGATGGGCAGGAATGACAACTAAGACGACGGCCTCGCCGCAAATAAGTGAAGAGAAGCCCTTGTCGTAAGTAGCCTCAGTAAACTACCCGGTGCATGAGGCACGCGCCAACCGGGACACCTTTGTTAAGTTGTTTGTTATAGAACTATGCAGAAGAACTATAAGAAGGCTTTGTCGTGTTATTGGCAGTGGGCAGAAATATGAATTTTTCTGCCTTTGCATTTGACAAAAATGACAACCACACAGTATCATCGCTAAGTTGAAACTTGCTTAATCTTAACATGTGTCAAACAAGCGTAAGTTGAAATGAAACGAAATCAGAGAAGTTTATACTCATTTTTTGGGTCAGGGGCGGGGGTGTTATTTTAAAAGAAACAACATTGAATGCTGTTTTTTAACCTGGCTTCTTACGTACGTGTTCTATTATAAAACGGACCATTTCTATAAATAAAGCCTAAACATTAGACCTTTCCTTGAATTATCCACATCTTGTCTAGTCCCCGCACGACAAGCCTTCTCGGTCAATGTATTTCGGTGCATTTCCGTTAGGCTGAGCTGCATATTACGGCCCGAGAAGTAGGCTTAATCCTCACCTTAAAATAGATTACACTACCACTCTGTATCCACTCTAACTGCTGTTTTTTGTTTGTTTGTTTTTTCAGAGCTGTCAAACCCATTATTCAAAGACTTTGCTTTAATTGTTTGCTTGTTTTTCACCATGTTTTATAGTCAAAGTGATGTTTCATTTCCAACTAACATCTCACGTTATTTGAATGTTATGGTGTTCGTCTTTTAAAGGCACTTAAAGGAAATAAACAGTGTGTTATGTGTAGAACTGGCGTTTTAAGTTTTATGTCTGAAAGCAATGATTGCTCCCAAAGGGACGAAGGAGCTCGAGACCCATATGAAACTGAGAAAAGCAGTTTTGGCATGAAAATACAGTTGTATGAGAATAGAGTGGAAAGCTTAAATTTTTAGGAGTACTTGCTGAAGACTAAACAATTTATTAAAGAGAGGGTAGAAACCCATTCTAATGATGTTCACCCATGGATTAATAGACTTTTAGATTTGAGGACTAGAACGACTACGAGTGCCAGATTTCATTTAAGTTTTTTTGCGTATTCTAAAAAAATAGACTCTTCGCAAAATAGACACTCCGGAATACTTTATTGTACTTTCTTTCCACCTGAAGAATTAGTACTTTTATCTTTATTGGAGGAGCTTGATGATTCTCTCCCGAACACAAAATCATTAAACTTCTAATAGTTAACAACGTCTTCCTGCCACTACGACATTCTCGCTAAAACGCGCACTTGTATAATGGGGACAATCTCGTACTCATAGTCGTTCTCGTCTTATAACCCTACGGTCTCTACACACTGCTCGCGGGTTGTATTTAGACTTCCGTGCTTTGAAACTATCAGTGAAAAAATTGGAGAACGCAATTGCGGTCAGTGACATGATCTAACCATAACCAAAAAAGGGGTTTCATTTGATTAGTCGCACCAAAGAAGTTTGTCCTCTTGTAAGCACATTATTAAATATATTGACAAATGAACTAGGTACCGTACGAGAGAGACAAAGTCTCTTCATAGAAAGGAGTTATCCCCTGTCTGGAAACCTTAAAAGATTCTTTCTTATACAGCAGCCGCCGCGTAAACAGAAATTTGATTTTCAAACTGTCGCAGTCCGGAGGGATAGAAGCACTCCGGTAAGAAAAAGACGAGGATAAGCGTCGTCGAGAGTCTTGCGTTGAAAAATATCTATATGAGAAGAAATGTTGAAGGCACATCTTCACTCCGCAGAGTTATGATTCACCTTTGAAAAGTGTCCGTTGAATAGCAATGAAAAATGTTCACGAAGGTTCACGAATTGCGTAGGCACGAAAAAGGATGGGGCTCAGGGGCGGATCCAGGATTTTTTTTAGGAGTGGGTGCACTAGTCTCTTGCTCTACTTCAACACCAATAAACCACATGGTTTTTTTTTTTTTTTGCAGAATACCAGTTGTATTAGAAAACCGCAGGTCATCTCAGAGGGGGTGCGCACCCCCTGCACCCTCCCCCTAGATCCACCCCTGGGGCTTCTGTTTCGGCGAAATTTCTCATAACGGCGCGAATGCTGCGCCGCGCCGATCTCTTAAAGTGGATAAACATATCGGATAAGTGTTCACACCATAGCTTTTGCGCATGCGCCAGTACAAAAACCATATAGGATAGGGCTTCTGTTTACACACATGAACGGTTGTGGTGGCGCGGTTTCTGTGACGGAGTTAAGCGTCACATATCGCATAGTTTGTGTGCCAGGGTGCAGTGTGAACAGGTACTCTGACCGGCCGTAGCGGAAATGAATAAATAGGAGAAGGGCCTGAAACCCACTGAGTCGGAAATAAATATTTAGGAGTCAAGTGAGGAGTGGGATTAAGTTCACTATACGCTCTCGGCCAACCGCTCCAGCAAAAATACCCGCATAATGTCCCACCACAAAGCCAAATAATTAAGTAGTAGAAAACGTTTTCCGTGTTTGCATAGCCTGATATAAACACGAGAGAGGTTTGGGAGAACTCTCGACAGTTATGCAAACACGAGACGAAGTCGATACCTGTTCGTTGCGTGATTAGCGCGCGAAAAGCAAAATATCTTGATGCCACAACCATGTTTACATACTCTCATGCAAACACTCCTCTCATCCAATCAGAGCGCGCGTACTATCTCAGTTATTTTATAAATCGGTACAGTGTAGGTATGGCTACGCATACGGCTACTGATGTCTGTTAGTTCTCTAATTCGTAGTCATGTTCGAAAATGTAGATGGTTTAGCATGCATCAACAACGAGAACAAGAAAAACAAACCTGTTGGCGGGCGTGGACGAGGCCGTCGTACACGTCGTCAGTGCTAAAACCCCTTCAAGAAGGGAAGTAGTATATCAACATAAAACACTGCGAAAGAAATTTTTACTCTCCAACTTTATTTAAATCTTTTAAAGCAAAAACACCATCATGGTTGTTGAAAAAATGACTCCTTGTTCGGTTGTTCTCCTCAGTTTACTGCTTGAGAGATAAAAAACAAAAACATTATGAGTTCAACTGGAACGACATAACCGAAAATATCTCACCTTTTCCAATAAATTCATACATGTTTTCCAAGCGTACATACCTCAAAAACAAATGACTGTTCGAATGCTGTACAAAGAAAGAGCATAAAATAAAAAAAAATAAAAAATTTTAAGGAGTGTTGCATGTTTTTTTTTTTAAATGAGATAGCAGCGAACAAAAGGTATAACCAAATAATTCCTCTTAAATTTCTTGCAAAAATTTGGTCATTTTGCGATGCTGGCAGTTTCGCCAGTTAGGGCGTTTGCAGTAGAAACCGTTTGTGACTTCACAAAACAGAGGGAAATTAATTAACACCCAGCGTTTCTTCACTAACTTATACTTAAAATTACTGACAATTTTTTTTTTTTTTACAAAAAACGACTGCTTATAGCATGTTCCACGTGTTCAGAAGGTGAATACAGCGAACAGAAAAGTGAGCAGGAAAAAACAGCAAAGAGTGTTGGGGTAGGGAGAGAGGGGCGACAGTCCTCTCCGTCTCTTACTGTCCCTCTTCCCCCTTATTTTTTCTCCCCGCTCCGTTTGGGCCACTCTCAGCTATTAACATACTCTCGTTGCTTTTGTAACTTTGTCGATGTAATTGTTGCGGAAACCCCCCTCTGACTTTATACCGCTCTGGAAATGCTTAGATCTTATATACCTCATTATTTAGGAAGAGATCAACTTATTACTTCAACAATAGAATGCATCTTGAGGAAACAAACCTTTTTCCAGCATGCATGAGATCAAAAGCTTCATTTATTTTTTCCAGTCGCATTGTATGCGATATAAGTTTATCAAGATTCATTTTTCCAGCCATATACTCCTCTGATAGTTTAGGGATAATCTCGTGTGCAACACATCCTCCAAACAACAAAACATGAAAGAAAGATAGAAATGCCTTTTTTTATCCGGTTTGAAGGTCTGTAATTCAAATTATGGCCCGATCGTTTTTTACCGTGATTGCCGTCAATCAAGAAAAATAAAAAACAAGGACCTGTAAGTTAAATCAAGTAATGAGAAAACGATGGGGTATTTATTATATGCCTTTTTTTCAGTGACATAACCTTGCAGGCCTTGAAAAGCTTGTATTCTATAAGATAACTAGATTTTCATACAGTGTTGGACATCGAAACAATTGCAAGAGTATGCGCTTTTATGCACGACACTGCAGCATGCACACGTGGCCACTTTATTTAAAGGCAAGGCGGTTCGCTCCTTGCTGGTCTGTCATTACAATGATGATTCATGCCTCGAATCTAAAAGTCTCTGCTGTCTTACGATGTCATTCAAAACAAAGTGATTATGATTAACGTTGATTCATACCTCCAAAGATTGATCCGATTATATTCTTTCCCGTCAGCAAATGATCGGGATTTACTGATAGTTGTTCTTGTGCGACGCCAACTATAACAGTTGTTCCCCAACCCACGTGACTTGCCTCAAATGCCGCGCGCTAGAAATTCAGAGAATATATAACACAGCTCAAAGAATAATTGCGTCCGGGGAAAGAAGAAGTGATACTAAAGCAAAAAATGGGCGAGAATACAAGTAAAGTATAACAGATCATAGACTCATTTAGTGCGTTAACGTGCATTGCACGCATTTTCTGGGGTTAAGACATGTAAGCGCGGGAAGAAGCCCCATCCTGTACTTCGGTCTTTTCACCTTTATGCCCAGCCCAGCCATCCTCTGCTTTAAAGATGGAGACTGCGAAACGCAGGAGCCCGAGCACTTACTCAACCCCCCTCAGAAAATGTGTCTGCATTTCAGATTTGTGATAGAATGATGGAAAGTACTCATCTACAACCTCGTACCCGGGGCTTTTCCCTAAAAAAGGGAGGGGCCGGGGCGCGCCCTGGAACGAGTTTCACTTTTCTTTACTCTGATTATTGATCACTCGTTTAATAAATAAATTTTGTTAATCTTTGAACAATGCTCGCAGTCAACAACCAAATATTGGTAGACAGGTAGAGACGAAACAACACAAATAAATCTTAACCATGGTTTCAACTTTTCCAATGCATTCAATCGTAAAGTCCAGTCCTCCTTGAGTAATTTCCGTTAAGACCTAAGGCCAATGGGAGATAAAAAAAAAATGAGAGACAAGTTAAAAGACATACATGCAGGGCTCTGCACACAGTGTAAATCACAGGACAATCAGTTCTCAGACCCGAACCGCTCTTAACCTGCGATATCACGCATGATACAGAGTGCTTTCACATGACGACGTTATTTCTGCTGTTACAGTCATCAGGGCATCCTCGCGTTTTAGGCGTCCCATTCCCAAAACCCTAGTGATATGGGCATCCCCTTCTCATATTACCTTGGCGATTTGGGTTAGGGTTAGGGGGATGCCATATTACTGTAACACCAGATAGCTTTTGGGCCGCCACGAAAATCATACCGTATATTGCTTTTGTTCAAACACAAAAACGGTTAGTGGCGGCGCGATTTTCTGTGACGGAGCGACGCTGCGCCGTGACGATCTCTAAAGTGGAGAGTCCATATCGGATAGGTGCTCATACTATACCGGACTGATAGCATTCCGCGGCGCCACGAGAAGATATCCAGTATAGTGTCAACATAGCCTATAAATGTTCACTCTTTTCAGCTCTCAGTTCACTCTACTCAGCTATTAATATTTCAAGTTCGTACTTTGATATTAGGCGCATTTGAAAACGTTGTTGAATTTGCGAGTTACAAATGAACAAATATTATAAAGATTGTTATTATCATTATTATTATTATTATTATTATTATTAGTATTATTAGAACAAACCTGCTGGATAGGTTTATCATAATCATTAGGGTTCATGCACTCACTTGCGCCCAACTCTTTTGCTGAAAAAGAGAAACTTATTACAGCACATCTTAACTAAAGGCGCATTGGCTTATTACAAAAATGCGCCTTTTTAGTCTACCGGCTAATGATTTTATAAAGAAAAACATGGTCGCAAAATGACAATAATGAAGAATATACCTACTTCCCTACATGAATGTAATCTAGTGCTAATGTGTTTCGCTAGCAAGTACTACTTGGGACACTGTTTTAAGTCTCCAACAGCCATAATGGGTCATTATAGCTCTTGAGGTCTCTTGGAGACGGCGCTGCCATTTTAGATGTTCATTTTCATATGCCTGATAATTATCTGAAACGTGTCTAGGAGACCTCTGTGAACAGCAATGTCGAATGCTGCATCCTGTACGATATTAGGGAACTACAGCAAAGACGTTTTCGAGGGACGCTCATCAACTGGAGGTGAGGCCTTTTCCTTATCAATATCCTTGACGCTGCCAAATTTGTATTGCTAAGTCTCTTTACTCTTACATACTGCAGGCACAGGCTCGAAAATGTGGGCAAAACCAATGCCTAGTAAAGCAAAAAGTCCACTTTCGATTGAAGTGCGTCACTCAGAAACGACGTTTGCTTAAACTCCCTAATAACTATTTTTGGAAGGCGGTAAATTTTAAGCATCGTTAATTAGTGATCAAGATATTGTTTACTAAGTACCGCCAACCTAAAGGAAATTTATCAGATTTAATATCAATCCCAATTATCCTCGCGGCACCAGCAGCTTTACAACCCATCACTGCAGAAAGCCCAACTCCTCCCAGTCCCCACACGGCCACACTCGACCCAGGCTTCACCCAGAAAAAAGAACAAAAATGATCGCTTCGTAACTTGTAGCAAAGTTGACAAGGCAACAAATAGTCACTAGTCGAATTGCAAGAGAGTATAATGTCCTATTAGTCTCTCTAGCTTGTGTTCATCAATATATGTCACGTAAGGTGCATTGTGTAACGTGTGTTTCGTTACCTGAGCTGTATTAACTGCAGCACCATATCCAGTGGGCACACCGCAACCGAGGAGACAAGCCTTGTCGAGCGGAAAATCTTGAGGTATCTGTATAAACAAACAGACAAAAAGAGGTGTTGACGTGGAGTAGGTCATTTCCTTTTTCGTTACAAATGAAGCGTTCAGATAGTGGGGATTATTGATCGACTCTCATCCCCTTTCCTCTTCCTTACTTCCTCTTTTTTTTATTTTATATTTTATTATTTTCTTTGCCCACCCACCATTTCGCGCCACTCTCCACAGGCTGTAAAATAATTTTACGAAGAACTAATTATGGCCTACAATGGAGGACAAAAATCCTCGGAACGGTTATGAAAAACCTTCCTTCCACATCCTTAACTTATCAAATGTTCAGATGTAGCATAATATGCACTTCTCTAACCGCTTGGATGCCGCGACTGTCCCTCCCCTACCCCCTCCAAACAATGTTGGGATGAAGAAACACTTTTAGGACAGGGTAGAGTGTACAGGGGTGCACAAACAACAACATTGCTTTGGGGGCGAGGGGGAAAGTGGGAAAAATTAAGGCAGATCGTGTTAATTGTCCTAAGAATTTTGTCCTCCATTGTAGCAAGGTTTAGTGTAGTGGCATCACAGACCTGGGAAGCAACACCTATGAAAATTGAGTGTCTCCCCTTAAACAGTTTTAAAAAAGAATATAAACTCTTTCTACTTGGCAGTCAGGCATCTTGAACAACTCTAATAATTTATTTAGCTCTATTTATTTAATTATTTAATTTAAATAGTTATTATTACTCATATATACCCTTCCTTTTCAATACGATTAATTTAGCAAGAATTACATAACTAGTTTTTTATAAGTACTGTATAACCTCCACCCTCTTGTAACCGCTCTGTGGTAGTAGCCAACTCGAAAGCTTGGCTCTTTTGGCTGATACACACTTTTTTCCTTTGTTATGTTTAATTCAATGTACAGTTAGCTCTGTTTTTACTTCTTCTTTTTTTTCTCTTATCGTTATTGTATTGTAATTGAATAAGTGTGAATGAATGAACTTGAAATTGAACTTAAAGGTATAGCCGATGACTAAGGGCTGAAAATGCTTCAACTTGTCGTCAGTTGTCTTGAACAGCCATGATGTTTTTTGAAACAGGTCAATACTCACAAGGTTTAGTCCCACTTACCTTAACAACAAGCATTTCAGGAACGACGATGTACTCACTGAAGGTTCCCAACCTGGCAAGCTGTTTTATACTCTTTCCTTTACATGTCAACCGGGTTGTTCCATCAAGCATTTCGGCCTTGTCAAATCCGAAACTTCAACATAAGAAAGAAAAACAACAACGTTATTTTTTCATAACTCACCCCATGTATGGTAATAAAAGACAGTTCTGGATTCTGGATTGCACATATTGGATTCCGGATTCCAGGTACTGGATTCCGGATTGTTTGTCAGTGGACTTGTATTCCGTATTCTAATCGTTAGTGGGATTCCGGATTCCTTGAGCTAAATTCCGGATTGCACAAGCACAAATTTCCCGGATTACGGAATTTCACAAGCAAAAATTTTCCCTATTCCGGAATCCGCATAACCTTTCATTGGGCGACATAAAGGTCTTTAATAAAATCAAATTGAAGTATAATTCAGTAGCCTTTATTTTGGAAGACGAAGATCAGTTAGTAGTTCGGACAAGTTAAGCTTTCTACTGATGCAAGTGTTTTCAGAGCGAAAGCAGCAAAGGTAAGACGTCTGGAAATTCATTCAGCTGTCCAGGCTAGGACACATTGCTGTAGAAGAAAGTATGTTTCTGGTTAACGAGGCCCTTAGCAAAAGCTGTTTGGAACAAAATATAGTCGCCGCTGCTGAATGGAGTATTTGCGTAAGAAACAAAACAGAAAGAACGCCGAAAGGTAAGAAGGTCGGAAGGATACAAGGTAGGAAAAAAGGTAGATTAATGGTTATAGAGATGATCTGCAGGAGGGCATACACATTTAATCACATTAATTAGCCTGCTAGCAAGATTTCCATTCAAGGGAGTTGCGAGAAGTAACGCGAGAGGAGCACGCGAAGGGAGACGCTTCGCCGCTTGCTCGCGCGTACTCTGGCAGCACGCTGATCGATGGAAAGCTTGCTCGCACGCTAAATTCATAAATACCTGGTGCACAGATTGGTCAGTGGATTCAGGCAAAGCTTGCATTCTCCACAATTAGGGACGTAGGTCAGTACAACATGGTCTCCTAAGGACAATGACGAGGTAAAATTTGTGATATGGAATAAGCTTTTATCTGGAGTCCCTTAGTCAAACCCACACCTCTGATCGTCCAAACTCGTTCGGTGAAATTCGAGAGAGAGTCAGACTGCATGTATTTATTTACCTGGTTTCACTGTAGTGACTCCTTCACCAACGCTCTCTACAACGCCACTTCCTTCATGTCCCAGTACAACTGGAAAGAAACGATCTCCTTTGTTTCCGCTCGCCATTGTGCTGTCTGAATGGCAGACACCTGTATTGATCATCTTGATTCGCACCTCACCCAATTTAGGTGGCGCGACCTCAACTGTTTCTATGACAGCGGGCTTGGCAGCCTCCCATGTTACTGCGCCTCGGCAGGATATCGGCTGGGAATTGTTGAAAAAGACATTGTTATTGAACCGTTTATTTAGGCACTGATGTTAATTTGTTCTGATGTCATATTGTGTTATGGCAGATACGTCATCACCTAGATCTATTGTTGAACTCGCGGTCTTTTTTCGCCATGTGATTGACTTGTTGTGTTCAGTTTTTTTTGTAGTTTCTGGAAACCTAGACTTCTATTAAATTTAAGATGAAAACTCAACAGGAATATCAACATAAGTTTGTTTGTTAGAGAAAAGACTTAGGTGGACTTTTTACGTACTTCGGCGGTGTCGCTGCTTGTTAAGCAGAAAAAACAATAAAGTGATCCTTGCTAGCGAAACACATGGGCACTAGATTACATTTATGTAGGTAAGTAGATATATTCCTCATTATTGTCATTTTTCGACCATGTTTTTCGTTATAAAATCGTTAGCCGGTAGACTAACAAGGCGCAAGAGGACTGAGAAAAAAGCAATGATAATGAAAATGGAAATGATATTAAATGATAATGATAGTGATGGTGATGACAAAAGGTAAAAAGTATTTGTCCAATATTTTGGCTTGCAAAGCAAACCTGTGGGGTATACAAGAACTCAAGAATATTCAGGCTACAGTCTCTCTGGACGGAATGCGAGTTCACAGTAAGGTTACTCCCGGCAACATTCCCGTTTATACACCTAGCTGGGTAAAGGGACGATACGAGCATAACAACGCCGTTTCTTGTCTTAGAAACAACTTAATGTGACCGAGCCGCGCGAGTAGGGGAGGTAGCGAATGACAACCAATGAAAGACAAAATGCGTACAAAACAAACAAGAATTTAATGGCCAATTAGTGGGGAAAGAAATACAATAAGAAACAAATACTAGGAAAACGAATAAAGCAACAAAAAGGGAAAGAAAAGGGGCGATGAAAAGGGCAATAGCGCTAAAAGGAAACAACGACGCTAAAAATTACTAAGACGGCTAAACAATACAACTAAGAGAATAAAACTACACTAAAATGTGAAAAGTAAACAAAACACGCTAGGAAACATCATGCTAGGTCACGAAAGAAGAACAAGCGTGACAAATAGCACGTGACTCGTGTCAAGAGTCATATGATACGAAGACAAGAAAACACAAGCTAAACGAGGTCAAACTGAAAGGTTGTGATCTACGATCTCGCACAAAACGGTGGCAAAACTAAGCAAAACACTACGCTAGAGGAATAACAACGGCTACGAAACTAAAGGACAATGTTTTCAGAGCGAAAATGCTCGATACAACAGCGGAAAACAACAAAACCAAGAAACGATGAAATCTACAACACGAAAGTAATACTACGGTCGCTGGACGTTTCATAAACACGATGACCTCGAAGGAGAACGAAGAACATCCTAGGAAAAACAGTAAAAGGAGAACACTTACCCACTCCAGCGAGGGGAGAACTCTACAAAACTATGTCCTACGGCTTGACTAGTGAACGCGGCAACTGGAACTGTAGTAATGCGTAGAAACGCTACGTGCAGGCGTATTTATATCGCGCGGAACACAAACAGCTCGCATCCTGTTATTAGCAATACAATTGGACAACTATAGCTAGGTAAGCCACAAAACAGTGAAATCTTCCTTTTGGCAATACGCCTGTTTGCGAAACACTATTATCGCTTTACCGCAAAATACATACGTGTTCTGTTAATACAATAGGAGGAAACAAATGGAGAGTTTCGCGGTTAACTACAGCAATGGCGGCAAATTAAAGCGAGCTAAAATCAATTAATTTCTTTCCTGTTTATGGGTGTAAAGGCGGAGAAATCACAGAGCTAGATAAAACACGGCTAACTACAAAGCACAACTAAAGAAACGCGTACCGTGGGAAAACGATAAACGGAACCGCAAAAATAATACCGAAAAGAAAATGCTTTGTGAGCTAATTATCGAGCTCGGTTACATTTCTCCCCTGCTTAGGTCGTCGTCCTCGACAGACCACAACAATGCTTATTTAAACTAACAAACTCGTTTTACCAAAGGCTATATGCTAAGAACCAAAATAACAAAATGAAATATACTGGAAAGTCTTTAACAGTCAATGTCACTGAGTTATTTACTGCTGATCTTGGGGCTCTATGAGGATTAGAATGCTGTCCTGCTGTCGTCCGGGTCGAGCGTCTCAGGGTCGTCTCTTCAGGGGGCTCTGGGGCTGGGTGTTCCACATGAACTGGTTCTTCGGGGGTCTCTGCAACTGGGGGTACTGGAACGGCAGGTTCAACAATCTCAGGTTCTGCGTAGGGCGCTTGATCTCCTGGGGTCACTTTGATGGGCATTTCTGGAACTGGGGGCTCACTGGTTTCTGATTCTTCCGGGGGGTTCACAGGCTCACAGGGTTCTGGAGGTGCTGTGTTCAATACAGGATGGGGGCGTCTTCTCATCACGATTATCTCTTCCTCATCATCTTGGGGTTCAGTGGGCACTCTATTATGTCTCGCTCTTGGGGGAATCAAATCTGTCGGTACAATGGGGTTGGTGTCAAGGCATGGCTGTACCTGCCTGTGACATGGTCTCATCAGGGTCCGATATACTCTCTTGCTGGGTCCATCTCCATGGGCTGGAGCAACTGTATAAACAGCTCCTGTAGGTCCTGGCGTCTCTTGAACTTTGTACAAGGTGGGATCCCAAGCATCCTGTATCTTGTTTCTGCCTCGGGGATGACTGCGTAGGTAGACAAACTGGCCTTTTTCAATTGGCTGGTCATTGGTACTCTTGTCGCTGGTGGCTTTCCGTGCATCTGCTTGCTGTCTGAGGTGCTCCCCTGCTTTGAGGTAAGCATCTCGTAAGCGGTCTTGGTGGGAGGCTAGCCAGTCTGTTTCAGGTGGATCCTTTTCGTCTGCTCCAAGCATTAGATCTAGTGGTAAGCGGGGGTTACGGCCAAACATCAGGTAATACGGAGAATAGCTGGTGGATGCATGAGGGACAACATTATAGGCATAAAGAAGTTCTGGGAGGTACTCTGGCCACTTTCTCTTCTTTTCTGGTGGTAGAGAACGCAACAGGTTGTGCATGGTTCTGTTAAATCTTTCACATTGGGCATTGCCTTGCGGGTGATAAGGAGTGGTACGCGACTTCTTAATGTCGTACAGCTTACAGAGTTCGGTGATCACTGCATTCTCAAAACTTCTTCCCTGATCGGAGTGGATTCTCAGAGGGACACCATACTTAAAAAACCATTCCTTAAGGAGTACTTTAGCTGTGGTGCTCGCCCGCTGGTCTCTGGTAGGAACTGCATGTGTAAATTTTGTGAAAACATCTGTCATCACCAACACGTTCTCCCTGCCATCTGTGGCTGGTTCCAACAATGTGAAGTCGATCGCAAGAACTTCTAGGGGTTTAGTAGCTAAGAGGTGTCCCATGGCTGGTCTAACACGTGGTAATGGTTCTTTCGACAAGGTACATCTTTCACATTTCTTTATCCATGCTTCTACATCGCTATGTATTCCCGGCCAGTAGCAACGGTCTCTAATCAGATGTAATGTTCGCTCGGTCCCTTGGTGGCCCATACCATCATGTAGGCTGGTAAGTACTTTCTCTTTCAGTTTCTGGGGAAGGATCAACTGTTTTCGTTGGCCGCAATGGGGATCTTGAATGACTCGATACAGTATGCCATTTTCCTCTTCAACCTTGTCCCATTGGTTGAGCAACGTAACAGCATCTCGTGTTTCTCCTCTCCTTTCTTGGGGGGTGGGTTTGCGGTTGGTTTGCCTGTAGTAGTGGAGGCGACTGATGACGGGGTCTGCAATCTGCATGTCTCGTAACTCAGCTGGACTGTGAGAGGGTAGGCTGGTGAATGTTGTCTCTGGGGTACTTGTGCTCAGTTGTTCTTGGGAGGTGTAGGTCGTCACCAACTCTCTCAGCTCGACTGGAACTGGGGTGGATTGCGTGACGCTAATGTTTTCCAACTGAATCTCAGCTAAATCGTCAGCATGCGGGATTTCCTTTTCATGATTTCCACGTGCTACTCTTGAAAGGGCATCTGCGTTCCCATTAGCTCTACCAGGGCGGTACTTCATCTTAAAGTTAAACAAGGCTAATTCAGCTGCCCATCTCTGTTCCACTGCTCCTAACTTGGCTGACTGAAGGTGACTTAGGGGATTGTTGTCTGTGTACACCACGAATTCTGTTCCTAACAGGTAACTTCTGAACTTCTCTGTGATAGCCCACTTCAGCGCTAGTAACTCTAGTTTACGGGAACTATAATTCTGCATGTTTTTCTCTGGAGGTCTGAGCCGACGACTTGCATAAGCGATAACTCTACGTCTACCATCTTGTTCCTGGGATAGCACAGCTCCTAGTCCATCATGGCTAGCATCTGTCTCCACAATATAAGGCTTGGTGTAATCTGCATAACCAAGTACTGGTGCAGTTGTGAGCTTCTCACGCAGGATGTCAAATGCTTCTTGGCACTCTTGGTTCCATTTCTCTTTAAAGGGGCACAAAAGTCTCTTGTTAACTTTGAGTTCATGAAGTGAATTGTTCACTAGCTGGTGAAGGGGTCCTGCTATCTTGGCAAAGCTTTCAATGAATCTTCGATAGTAACTTGCAAAGCCTAAGAAGGTTCTGAGTTCCTTAACAGTTTGGGGAACTGGCCACTCTTGTACGACTGCTATCTTCTGGGGGTCTGGGGCAATACCAGCACCGGATACTTCGTGTCCCAGGTAGGTGACTCTTCTACGCAGGAAGGTACACTTTTCCAACTTCAATTTCAAACCGTGTTCTCTCAGACGTTTAAGGACCATTTCTAGTCTCTCCAGGTGCTCTTCAAAGGTTTTCGAGAAGATCAGGATGTCATCCAAATAAACAAGCAAAATCTGGAAGATCTGCTCATTTAGGCAAGCTTGCATAAGCCGAGCAAAACACGCAGGTGCATTACAGAGTCCAAAAGGCATCCTGTTGTACTCAAACAGACCAAAGGGGGTTATGAATGCAGTCTTCGCTTTGTCTTCTTCAGTTACTCCTATCTGGTTGAAACCA